GGTTGTCCCTCACTAACCCCCCTGCTGGCCTTGTCGCCCCACGCAGCCATCTTGTGAGGGCGTGTGTTTAATTTCCATATTGCCTCTTTATTATATAGGATAGCCAAGATGTGGAAGCAGCCCAAGTGTCCATCATTAGATGAGTGGATAAAAAAGCTCTGGTACAGAAATTTATTTCTCATAGTTCTGTATGCTGGAAGTCAGAGGGTTAAGTGTGGACCCTCTTCAGGGTCACAGGTTTCTTGTGTGGAAGGCACAAGGCAGCCCAGGGAGGTCTCTTTCATAAAAAACTTTAATCTCTTTCAGGAGTTCTCTACCTTAATGACCTAAGTACTGTCCAAAGGCTCCACTTCCTAATGCCATTACATCAAGCACTAGGATTTCAACATATGAATTTTGGGTAGGCACAAACATTCAGACTCTAGTACTATCTATATTCAAAAAATCAAAATTTGCAAAAAATAACAGCCCAAAACTGGGAGAGGGGAGAGAAGGGAATAATGGTGCAATGCCTCTAAGAAATGTAATATTCACAAGAGGAAGGGAGATGTAACCCACAGTAATAAGGCTTGAAGCATATTGCCATTTTTCAAGAATAACATTGGCAAGAATTATCAAAAGAGATAGGCAATGAATGTAGGATAAAATTCCATCAGGGTATATAGTTGAGACATATGTTAGCCAGAAGAATTAGGTAAATGTTGCATTTAGAAAGGAGATATGGTGGGTATAAAAACATACAATATTTCTGAAATACTGCTATTTGAAAAAACATGAATGGATCTTAAGAATGTCATGCTAAGTGGAGTAAGTCAGATAGAAAAAGTCTGAACCATATGATTTCACTCATATGTGGAATATAAAACTGATATAAACAAAAACTCATAGACACAGATAATAGAATGGTGGTTATCAGAGAAAAGAGGAGTGGGAGAAGGTAGAAAAGGTTAAAGGGCAGTCAAATATATGATCATAGAAGAAGACTTGACTTTTGAGTGGTGAACACACAATTCAATATACAGATGATACCTTACAGATTTGTACATTTGAAACCTATATAATTTTGTTAACCAATGTCACCTCAACCAATTTAATAAAATTAAAAAATATATTTATATAACAGCTCACACACACACACACACACACACACACACACACAAAAGTAACATATCTTTTAATACAGTTAAAACACAGCAAATTTTTCTCTCCTCCAATGCTAGGAGACATTTATTATTTCTTTATTATATATATACTAGAGGCCTTGTGCGTGATATTCGTGCATTGGAGGAGGGGGTCCCTCAGCCCATCCTGCAACTTTTCGTAGTCCGGGACCACTCG